CAAGTCTGACAGTCAGAGCCCAAGAGTTGCCTCCCTCCCAGGGCACCTCCAGGGAAGTAAGGGAAGGCCTCTTCATACCTGCACCCTGGGTGTGACCCCACACCTGCTCTCTTTTGTCCTGATCTTGTGGGAGTCAGTGTCACCCGTGCAGGGCTTGTACTGGAGACATGTCATGATGCATAGAGAACTCAGGGTTCACTGAGCATATTGGGGAGGGAGATGGGGGCACTAGGCCTTCTAGGACCCTTCTCTGGGTGGGAAACCAACTCTCTTCCAATGTGTCTTCCTGCAGAGCCCTGGGCCACGGTGCCTTTGGGGAGGTGTATGAGGGACTGGTAGTCGGCCTTCCTGGGAACTCCAGTCCCTTGCAGGTGGCTGTCAAGGTGAGGGATGTGGAGAATGGAAGGTGGCATGTAAGGCCAGCCCACCTAGGAAGGTTCTGGGTTTGTGTCGGAGACCTCCCTGGGTACGCTGAGCACACATACCCATGAACCAGTGCTAGTAGGGCTCAGGGGGTGACAGTGACCTGCTGCATCAGGACACTGTGGGGATTCTGTCTCTACAGCTCATGGAGGAAGGAAATGAATAAACTCAAGTTTTTAAAAAGTGAGAAGGTGAGACCAGCAAATGGCACAGTGATTACGTTGCTGGACTCCCACGTAGTCGACCTTGGTTTGAGTCCCAGACCCAGTGGCTTAAACTCACACTGGGCATGTGTGCATATGTGCCCAAGATCCCAAGAGGAGAATGGAGGAGAAGGGACTGCAGCATGGCCACCCATCCTGGGGAGTGACTTCTCACTTTCTGTCTCTGCCCTGCGAACACATGCACCGTATAGCAAAAATCTCTCTAAAAAAATTTTTTTAAATAATTAATTTATTAAGGGGCCTGGGGCCAGCAGTTAGCATAATGGCTATGTCGCTGGACTCCCATATAGTCAACCGCGGTTCAAGTCCCGGACCTGGTGGCTTAAAACTCACGCCAGGTGCATGTGCGTGCGTGCCCAAGATCCCAAGAGGAGAATGGAGGAGAAGGGATTGTGGTGTGGCCATCCCCCCTGGAGGGTGATTTCTCACTTTCTGTCTCTCTGTCTCTGTCTGTCTGACGAGCGCACGCACCCTATAGCAAAAAAAAAAAAAAAAAACTCTCAAAAAAAAATTAAGGGTCAGCAGGTGTTATGGTGGTTAAAGGACTGGATACTCCCACATGGCTGACCACAGTTCAAGTTCCGGACCTGGCAGCTTGCTTTCTCACTTTCTCTCTCTCTCTCTCTCTCTCTCTGTGTGTGTGTGTGTGTGTGTGTGTCTGGTACACATTTTTTTAAAAATGAATGAGTACATTAAAAAAATTTAAAAGCGAGAGGGCATGGGGCTTCTGGCTGGGAGTAGGAGAGCAGGGCACTATGAGGGAGTAGCAGAGCAGGGCGGGGGGTGGTGGTGGTGGTAACAGCTTCTGGAACTGCCCTGCTGAGGTATCCAGAGGAGCACAGGAACTCTGTGCCCTTGGCCTCCCCAGACCCTGCCAGAGCTCTGCTCTCGCCATGACGAGCTGGATTTCCTCATGGAGGCGCTCATCATCAGGTGCACCTGTGGCCTGGGGCAGCGGGGCGGGG